TGAGATATAAAAACAACTAATATATAGATACATAGGTGTATACAAATACAAAATAATGCAATTTTACATTATGTAGTTGTTGGGCACAGCCATTGGCCTATTACTGTTTGCTAAATCATTGCAATCATACGAACAGATTTTAATAACGGGGTTGTTTATAGAACTCTGCTTCTCATGGAATCTCTTTGCATAAAAATAGATAAAAATAGTAATGAGTCTTGAGCTGAAAATAACTGAATAATGTCTACTGAATAGTAAATCTATCTGTATGATCATTGATTTTAAGAACAGCTCACAAGGTTTTAAAGTAATTTTATTTTTCATCTCCTTTTCATTAAAATGGGATTTTCCAGCTTGAATGCATTTGTCTAAATTCGTTGATTAAAATTTCAAGAAATTCTGATTATTTATATCAATAACGTAAAAATGTCCAATTATTAGGAAATTAGAATAGTGATAAATTTAAATAAATCTCTAGTTACTTATTTCGTATTAAGTTTTAGGTATATATTAAATAATGACGGTAATTATTCATTAAACAAAATCATAAATTAACTTTTTCTTGTGATTGGATGCCCCCACAAAAGAACAAAATCGCTCCTCCTATTGTCAGCACAAATGTAAACAAACATTTCTGCACGGCTGGTCGAAATGCGCAGATATTACAATGAACAAAGATACATCAGCAGCAGACTTTCGTCAATTAAATACAGTGTGGATTTATGTTTCGAGAATTTCATTTTCCAGGAAAAAATAGAAATTGTCCGCATCTGTAAGCTGATCTGCCAGGGGTCCCGAAATTTTAATTTTGCAGGACCGGCCATGGGCCTGCCGTCCCTGTTCTTTGTAGCATGCAAGTTCTTATATGAACTTTGACAGTGACGGCTGATATGAATTATTCATTCGCTTTCGTCCAGTTGACTTTTATTTGGTCATCGTTTTCCTCAGGCGTTTGTGCCAGCGGTACGGGCACTCACGGGACAAATGCAATTACAAATCTTGGTGCCTAAAATGCGCACAGTTCCACGAAAGCTACGCCTGTCCACAAAAGAAGGAAGACGGAAAACCCGAAAAGTGTGCCCTTTTCTCTGAAAATCACGTCTCGTCATATAAGGGTTGTAGCCAACACCCAAAAAACATCCAAAAAGCAGCCAGAAATAAAAGAGAGGCCCAAAATCCTTGGAAACAAAATAGATTTAATCTCAAAAACGATAATTTTTCTACACTTCATGATAACGGAGAGAAAAATAATTCAGAATCTACCTCAAAGGGGTTCCGAAAAATTTCTCACACACACACAGATCGTATTTTATTCTCGAGTGTCAAGATGTAGAAACATCTTTTTACTCGATTTCTGATAAAGATCGGGTGGGGGGAGAAAGAGAAGGGTGAAAGGAGTGTGGGAGGCGGATGAAAGAGAGTGAGGTCCGCACTAGAGGCGGTAAAAATTCTCAAGATGAATCAATAGAAAATGAACTTTCCTTCTTCGGATGGATTAAAATCAATTTGAATAAGGCCACAGAATTCCTAAATAAATTTAAAATGTCCATAATGGATAAATTATAAGTTCGCATAGCAGCCGTTGATTATTTTTGAAGCATTAATCTAGAATTCTAGTTTATGTTTGGTGCCAATGCAACCTTATGTTTCTACATGCAAATAGCTTTTGCATTTATTCATCCACTGTAAATTATCATCCGAACTTGCACGAAGAGCAATTTTGGTGTAGCACCTGGATGCCTGAGTTCAAGACCCTACGCCACATCGAAGAGCAGTGTTGTTTACCGGATGGTACAGGAAAATAACTTGTATAGCTTACACATAATAAATTCAAGAAATGTATACACAAACATATTTACACGACATACGTAATTTTTTTTGTTTTAATATATAATTTTATGGAGTTAAGAGCGGCCGAATGTGTTCGATAATTAAATTAATAATAAGGTAGGTCGTGCAAAGATCTCAGATGTTGTAAAAAGCTATCTGGGAAGTTATGAAGTTAGCCGTCGAGCTGGTGATAACCTGAGAAATGACATACATGGGTATATGTACAACTTATTAAGCAAGTGTGAACCCAGAGGTGCTATAGAAAATAAAAGAAAGTAATACAAATGCATGATATAAATACCAAAAAATAATAAATATGTTCCTCATGTAATTTTGGATTTCTCACGTACCACAGAGAATCAGTAATCTGCCGTAGTATACAATGCTGGACAGTTTGTAGCTTTTTCCTGGCAAATTTGCATGAATACGCCCAAACTGGGCAGGCATAACAAAGTATGGTACGCAACATAGATTTATAAATAAGTAGCTTGTTGTCTATAGAAAATACACTATTTCGAGCAATTAAGGGAAAGAGTGAGCGTTTACCTACTCGAAACTTTTTAATGATAAATGTAATGTGTGGGCACCATGAAAGAGTTTTACTAAGGATCACCCCAAGATAAAGTATTTGCTTGGCCCAGAGAAGAGATGGTATTCCATATAGCTGCAGGTTATTTTTGAATTTTTTTTTCCATGAAGAGTGTAGCTTGTGTCTTCTCGACATTGACTTTAATTTTCCACTTTGTCAGCCAAGTCTCAAGTGTATGTATGTAATTTGTAGGCGTTGTATAGCTGAACTAACAAATGCACTTTGAGAGAGGATCGCAGTGTCATCAGCATACATTGCGAGTGTCGTGTTGAATGTAGTGGGAATGTCTTTCACGTATACATTGAAAAGTGTAGATTCAACAAGGGACCCCTGGGGGACCCCAGTTTAGTTTCCAATATTAGTTTCACAGCTACTACTGCAGTGAACTCAGTTGCACAAATCTCTATATTTTTTTTGTGACATTTATATTATAGTATACAAAATGTGTTAATTTGCAGCTTACACTTTCAATAGGATAATAGTCAGTTGCTAAAAATTAAATTTTAAGTTGTACAAAATTATATATTAATTTTGAACTACGCAGAACATTGACATCATTATTTTTACATGATTTAAGGGCCAATTGCATTTACAGTGCTCCGGAAAGTTGACTACTACAATTTTTAGAAACCAACCATTTATATTTATCGTTATGCTTTCTTTTCGGTGTAGAAGAGCACTCAGTGTAAACATGATTGAATGTATTCATTTTTACATTTTTTATAAATGAATTAATTATCAGAGCAAGGAAAGAATTCATAAATAAATATTAACAATCAAAACACGGTAAAGCAGCGAGCAAACTGTTCAGTGTCTGAGTCTGAAATGTTGTTAATGCAGAACTGAGATTCCAGATGCTGAGCTAAAAGTTCTGCTTTCTCAGTTCCGCTGTAATGGACCCGTTGAGGGCCGTGAAGGGGCGGAATGGCGTTATAGCATTTTTTGTACCTCTTCACTGCTTTCCATAAGGAGTTATCCTCTGCAGAAAGAGATCTGAGGTAGTTAGTCCAGCGATCTTGTGAGAGTTTATTTGTAAGAAACTTGACCGCTTCGCACAGGCGATTGAAGTTCCTTTTATCATCACGGTGTCTGGTGCGTTGATACGCTCGTCTTGCAGCATTTCTCTCTTTAATCAATAATCTGAGCTCTTGAGGCTTGTGTTTCATACCAGGTTTAACTTGAAACTTGTGCTTTCGCATAAGCATTTTGTATATTTTCAGTGAGGTCCTTGACCAAACTATCAATGTCACTCCCCTTGTGTATCGTGGGCAAAGTGTACTGGGTGTTGGAGAGGGCTTTGGCAAAGACCTGCCAGTCTGTACGAAAGGCCCTGGTGTCTGATGTAGTATATCTGCTGAGGTCCAGAATAATCCTAACAGGATTGTGATCACTTGAAAGTTCGTCCAGTAAAGAAATATCCAGTGGAGAACTGGTGTTCCGCAACAAGAAAAAATCAATAATTGCGGTGGACCCAGCAGCATACCGTGTTGGGGTACTTGGAACTGCCAATTTAAACCGTGCCGACGCGGCCAAGGAATAAATCAGTCTGCCTGTTGCATTAGAAGTGTAGCAGTTCCATGCGCGGTGTCTTGCGTTCAAGTCTCCACCAATAATAACATGTGTACCAAGTGGGAGTAGAATTTCAAGGTCTGCCTGAACGACAGCCACAGGTCTCATGGGAGGAATGTAGGTGGAGACAAAAGTGTATGGAGTGTTAGTGTCTGTTGTGATGCAGATAGCTGTGGCCTCTACGGCTGAGAGCTGTGGAATGTTCACGTGATAATGGGGAATGCAGCGTTTGACAAGAAGTGCAGGGCCACCTCCACGTGGGAAAAGAGTATCATGAAGATAACAATAACATATGAGTTACCATAATTAAACTAAACAAATGAATGAACTGTTAATTAATTGATGAAATAATGAATAAAGATGAAATGTAAATTTCATAACTAATTAAAAATAAACAAAGTTTCCGAATTTTCAACATATCTATCACAGCACAAGCTTGTTTGTTTACATTAGCAGTTCTTACATCACGTGAGCTCCAACGTCATCGGAATGTATCTTTTTAATCTGGAATTTTTACTTTTTTCATTTACTTTCTAAGTTAGAAACTTTGTAGATATTCGGGGAAGCCAAACTTAGTTTTTACTACGTTAACATCACTTTGATTGACATTTCATGACTACTCACGTGTATTATCGCCTCTGTGCTTTGGAAAACATAGCCAATGTTACTGTTACGAATTTCAATATACTGGTAAAAGCTCTCAGTAGCTATACGCCAGGAGTAAATTACGATACTCGATATTCAGGAGTGAGGCAAAAGCGCAAGCTTCTCTTACTCTCCTCATATAGACAATCTGCAAACATTTGGAAAATATTTTCTCCTGAAAGGAGACTTTATAAAGTTTTCAAATTTGAAATATAAGATTTGTTCTCAGATTTAGAATAGTATTTTCATAGTTTTTGGTCTTAACTTTCAATATCCGCCAAACAAAAATTGGGTTTTTTTACGGAAAGTTACTTTTGCCTTGGCAGGATTTTTACTTTGTGCAATCTCTGCTGTGATGTAATAGTCCGCCGAGAATGCGAAGTGAAGTGGAAATATTTTCCGCGCAGTTCGTATTTTTTCTTGTTTACATAGAAATGTGTATCTTATGAGATATTGTATACTTGTAGAAGGAAGAAATTATTGAAGTAAATAGTTTAGTTTAAGTGTCTTATATAATGAACCTTTAGTTTCTCATAGTGCAATGTTCCTTTTATTACTGTTGAAGCATGCTGTCAACAATGTTAAACAAATTTCGTTCTTATTGTTGTAAAAGTTGATTTTAATCTTTGTAAAAGTACTATTCAGAAGCTATTTTAATGTAAGAAAGAAGTGTTCAAAGGCGTTTGCACTGCATCCATATTTCAGATTGAAGCATTTTATATGTTTATTTTAATGTGATTTTTTTAATTCATATTATATTCTAGGCAGGGCGAGTTAAAGGAGACTTAGAAATTTAATGGAAGCAATAAATACTGGGATTGCCATTTGTCATTCAGACTAGATGCTAGGGATAGAAAGTATCATATGGTATTTTGAAATAGTAATATTCCATTTTGTGAATATTGAAGGCATTTTGTTATTGTTATAAATGGCACAGATGCAATAATGGTGGAAGGGTACTACTGATCTGTTATCAGGGAACCGGATCCAGAAAGGCATATATGTACGGATGTATGTATTCATATATGCATGTGTATACATATGTAAGGACGAATGCGTATATATAAGCACGAATGTGTGTATACATATACACATATATGCACATACATACATGCAGACGTGCATACATTCATATGTGTGAACACCTTCTATATGATTTATGTGAAGATTTATATATAAACAAACCACAGAATTTTATTTCCTAATATGTTCACTCTGATAGCCCTTTGGTTGAACTATCATATTACATCTTGATTTCGCCCACCAGCGGCCGAGTGGTAAAGACGCTGAACACTGGTAGTTCGGTCCGAGGTTCGAATTCCGCGAACCTGCTGGCTGCATGGGCGTTTTCGTGGTTTCCCCATGTGTAATGTGTATACGAGCCAGTTTCTCTTAGAAAGTCCTCGACGAAGGCATCCTTCCCTTTAGGCAGATAGCCCTTGTGTGCTTTGCCATTATTGAATAATCCCAATCACATCTTGATTTCCAAGATGGTTCTTTTCTTAAAACATTAAGGTTGATTTTATTCCATTTCTCCTTCACAGTCTTCCTGAGTTCATCCAATGTTTTGGGATGCCACTTTTAAGATCTTGGTTCAAAAGCCCAAATGCACTGTAATCCATAGGGGACTTAGAAGGGATGCATTTAAAGGGAATAGCTTCAATTCCAGTTTCATTTCTCATTTTTCAAAAATAAGGGACTAGATTTAGAGATATGTCTTGGAACCTTATCCTGATGAAACTTAACACAGTGAAGATTGTTTGATTAAAGAGATGGAATTTCTTCCTTAAAAATAGGTATTAAAACATATTTCTGATAATAATCCAAATTAACACTTTGCGGGTCGCTGTCACGCTGGCGTGACTTTTGCTCGTCAACAGTTATCGGCCGCTGTCACATACGCATGACTTATTTTCGCCAATGACGATGCTTCACATTGATGTTTGTATAGATAGACATACTATAGCAAAACATTTGACAATCAACACAGCATGTAATTACTACGTGCTAATCGCATCTTAAAGAGGAACTTGGAACATTTGACGATCAGGAAACATTGGTTTCAACTGTTTTCCTTTCCCAATTACCAGACTGTCTATTATTGAAATCTTTTTTCGGGGACGCTTATTTTGTTAGTTTGAGACTGTCTTTCGCTGCCTTCAAATATTGGAAACTTACGTTAGATTTAAAGATATCCTTCAAAATGCTCTTCGATGAGGAAATATATTCTGATCTGTTATCAGAAGAGAATAATTGCTCTGATAGTGAAAGTGATTCGGACAGTGGGAGCGATATAATTGTGAGACAATTTAAAAATAAGGGAAGACCAATAATTAGTGAATCTGAAAGTGATGAAGAGAATTCTGTGGCAAATGATTGGTCAGAAGTTGATTTTAAACCTAACTTTAACTTTCATGCTTGCCTGGAGCAGTTTGGGTTACAGGTACCATACACACCAGATATATTATCAACTGTGGAATTGTTCATTGGGGACGATTTATTTAATTTGTTTGCCACACAAACAAACTTATATCATAATCAGCAGAATAATGATAACAACAATGCATCAACAAAGAATAATGCTTGGATTGATACAAATGTTGTAGAAATGAAAAAACGTTTGGGGCTTGTTATCCTAATGGGAATAGTAAGAAAACCAGAACAAGATGATTATTGGTCTACTAACCCTGGATTACATACATCTATTTTTGGGAACACTATGCCAAGGAACCGATTTCAGCAGTTATGGAAGTATTGGCACTTCAGTAATAATGAGCGTTGCCAAGAAAGGCTTGATAAAATAAAACCACTTTACTCGTACCTGGTAGAAAAGCTTAAAAAAATTTATAAACCCAAGAAAGAATTATTGCTAGATGAAGGTATCATTCCATGGAGGGGCAGGCTATCTTTTCATATATATAATCCTGCGAAAATTATAAAATATGGAATTACAAATTGTTTTTTAGTCCATTGCATCATTAGATTTTGTCATTTAACACAAACTGTTAAATTTTTCATATTTTTGTAACTGTTGTTTCTATACTACAGCTGCATTCAGAAATGTTCAGTGCCATTTAATTGAAAACCCCTTATGACATGAGGCAGGTGTACAGCCCATAACATAGATGATCTGAACTTAAGCAATCTGAAGATTAGTTTTCCTCCAAATGCAACAAATCATGTTCAGCCTTTGGATCAAGGCTTTGTTGTAGTTATAAAAGAGGTCTTATCTCAACCGACTTGAGAGAGCTGCAATTGGCACTACTGAAAAGGAGGCGGAAATGCCAACTTGGAGTGTGCTTTATGCAATAAAAGCTATCTTTGCACCCAGAAAATCTTGTTTTCACAACACATACAGAACTGTTTTAGCAGCTTGTAAACACGGTGATGTGTTTACAAGGGTTTTATATAATATGTGTGTGATGTTAATTAGATGGCGACTTCACCTGACAAATGAAATAGTCTACAAGATGTTACAAAACCTAGTGTTAGTTTAGAGGAGTTTGTTAGTGCAGATGACACATCTTGGACACTAGAACATTTTACTGCAACATCTGAGCTAAACACTAGCTTTAAGAAGGCCATAAGTAGATTTGGTCATGAAGTTACCAGGCATTTTTATTTTTGCCTGCAACAGCTCAGAATACAGGAATTTTGCACCAGAATATTTTCTATGAGTGCATTTTTTCAAATTACAATACAGTATTTAATGTCATACTATAGTATTTTCTGTGATGACCTGCATAATATATTATAGTACTTATATTACTCCATATTATCAATTGTTAATATGTAGAAAAAATTATTTCAAAAATAAAATACGAGACCCCAGTTAGCACAAACTTTTGATTTTTCTGTTTCTTGAGATTCGTGTTTACAAGGGTTTACAGTATTACATACTTGATGAAAAAGCATTTTTTTTTTATTGCTTAATTGGCAAGCTAATTTTTTTTTATCAGATGTCTGTCACATTACAGATTAAATTATGTTTTTCGCCATCTGTTTTAAATGACAAAATTTTATAGGCTAATCTTTGGAATATGGTAACAGGTAGTTTGGCGACATTTTGGTATGGTGATAAAGGTTACTAGCTAGGACTTTAGCAGTGTACATGGATAAAGTCAAGAGTGTGCGCAATGCCATTTTTGTGCAAATCTGGGATTTTTTTTAAGTGAAAATAGGTCGGCGCTTACATGGATACTGTGTATGTGCAATTCTTAAAAATGCGGCAAGCAGTGGGCGATTCTGCAGTTTCTCCCAATTTCGCACCTAATCTTCGTCATGATTAAGTACTTTTGTTCCATAAAAGTTCTAGCATAAGCGTAATTCAGCTAGCAGATTGTTGGAAAAAAATGTTGATTAAAAAAAAAATGCCTTTTCTTCGTGAAAACAAAATGGCGTCCAAAAACAAACTAGCAGGTTGCTGTAGCAGGGTTGGTGGCCAAAAATCGCCAAGTTACTATAATCCAAAGATTAACCATTTTATATTTCAATTTATTAGTATTGCATAATTAAAAATACATGCATTGGAATTATTCCTATGTAATATACGGTGAAGTGTCCAAGATTCCGAATGTTTGGGACTTCGGTGATTCCAGATTTCAGAAATTTCTAGATTTTGAATCATTAATTGTATGGAATTGTTGTTAGTGAAATAATGAACTGTATTTATGATCTTAAGGAAACTAAAATTCAGAAAAAAAGAAAGCTTAACATTTGTTTTGTTCCATTAAATATTCCTTTCAACATGCATTTTAAAATTTTTTTATGTTAAAAGAGCACATAATTTTTTTGCTCAGTTACTAAAGTCTGCAATTCATTATCTATAATTCTTACATCAAGAATTCCTGCTAAATAGTCAGTTCAGGTCTTTTCAATCTCAGTAATTCTTTGTCACTTTCTTCACTATCAGTGGAGATATCTAGTGCATTTCTTTCAAATTCTGTTACTGCACTGTCACACTGTCATTGTTCTCATAAGCCGATACCACGTCATGCTCTTTTTTTTTTAGGTGAATATCCTCAGTGCCAGGCATTACCAATTAGTTTAGCTTCATTCCTGATGTAATCATATTTCTTGTATCTGATCATAATTTCTTTAAAAAAGAAGTACTCTGCATATAGAAAGATTGTTTTTCCCTGAATCATCATCATAGGAAGCTAAATACTGAAATGGTATTATTTTCGTGTTTTAAATTATGCTCGAATTATTCGCTGTTTAGTTTACTGATTGATGATTGAAGCTTTGTCATCGCAATGTAACACTAGCATTTCTCTTCCTATTCAATTAATCGGAAGATTTTACTTTTAACGTGTGGTATCCGAAAACATTCAGATTCAGAGCTGTCATCATCAATGAAATCTGGTAACTGGGTATAAATTATGCCAAAGCTTTTAAAAATTATCCGTAGACGCATCCTGTCATGATATTGCAATGCCTTATGCATCATATTTTATATTAAATTATTTCAAAGTTTTATGGCACCATTTCAGTGCTTGCAAGATTCAAATATCCATTGACTTATTGACGATTTATAGTTTCAAGGAAAGAATAAAATGGAGATATTGTTATTTACTGAATATGTAATTTTGAAGTTAATAATAATTAGTGGAACAAAATATTAAGCTGCTTCAAATCAGAAAATTAGGGAAGAGCACAAATCGCAGTGCTATCTGAACTTAAATTCAATGGAGTCTTGATTTTTCTTCTTTCTGACCCGTTGCATTAACAAAAAAAAAAAAAAAAAAAAAAAAAAAAAAAAGTATTGGCAACATTTTACTCCAAACAAACATTCATCTTTGGGTTTCATTTATTGTGTACAAGGCTAGATGAAACAGAAAAGTGCTGCTCCCTCACAACCATTCAAGGGCTGAAATGAAAATGTGGCAGGTGTTAAAGGTGAAAAACTATAGAATGGTTCAGTGCTGTCATAAAAAATCTCAGTTAATCTTTGAATTATGGTAACTTGGTAATTTTTTGGCAAAAATTTGGCAAGCAACCCTGTTACAGCAACCTGCTAGTTTTTGTTTGGACGCCATTTTGTTTTCACGAAGTAAAGGCTTTTTTTTTTATTTACATTTTTATTAAAATTGTTTCCCAACGATCTGCTAGCTGAATTACGCTTATGCTAGAACTTTTATGGAACAAAAGTACTTAATCATGACGAAGATTAGGTGCGAAATTGGAAGAAAATGCAGAATCGCAAACTGTTTGCTGCGTTTTTAAGAATTGCACATACACGGTATCCATGTGCACGTCGACCTATTTTTACTTAAAAAAACATCCCAGATTTGCACAAAAATGGCATTGCGCACACTCTTGACTTTATCCATGTACACTGCTAAAGTCCTAGCTAGTAACCTTTATCGCTTTACCAAAATGTCGCCAAACTACCTGTTACCATATTCCAAAGACTAGCCAAAATCTCAGCTTATTGGGAAGAAAATTGATTTATGACACTGATGCTTTTTCACGAGTATTACATTCTCCATTTCTATGCTGTGTGAGAAAAAGAAAATTGAAATATGCAAGGTCTGGATAATTCTGGTTATCGTCTGTCTAGATTTCATATTTTAACTGTTTTGTGGTTTGATAAAATATTAATTCTATTTTTAAACCATCATTACTGATTTTATTTAGTCATTGTAATATTTTCCCTTTTTTAGATGGATAGATGTCATCAACTTGTGGAGATAATGTAACCGAAGAAGGTGCCTTTGGTATTGAGAATATACTAGCTGATTTCTTTTTGAAGAAATTTAACATGCCAAGCAGTCAAAGTGATAAGTCTGATAGTAATCGTTATGAAAGAAGAAGTAAACCAAAACGTAAGAAACACAAGAAGAAATCTAAGCACAAGCATAAAAGTAAAGATCACAGTATAGAGAGAGAAACCAGTATCTATGGAAAGGTAGTCTAAATGTGATTTATATTCATTTATATTTCAGTTAATTTTTTGTCTTAGTTATTAATAGCAAATCAATCTAACTTAAGAAGGTGGCCCACCATCAGCTGAGTGGCAATGTTGCTGAACACTGATAGTTTGGTCCAGGGCTAGAATAACAACAAACAGGCTAACTTCATGTGTTTTTTTAGTTTTCTCCATATTTAACGTGTTAACAAGCCAGTTTACCTTAGAAATTCCTCTATGAAGACATCCTTTAGGCAGAATACCCTTGAGTGCTTTGCTATAATGAAATTATCTTACCTACGCTAACTTTAGAAGGGACTATCATATCTGATATATATATTTCATAATTACAAAACGTTTTTTAAAAAACAAAATATAATCATGCCTAGTATTTTCACTCATTAAGCTCCTGAAAAATTATCAGCAGGCATAAAGTAAGAAATTTAAAACTAGTTTTTCACAAAGACCAAAAATTGAAATTCATAAGTAATAAATTTCAAATAATCCTTATAAATGCAAAAAAGAATTTAACCCCTTGCCTGTGACGCCCGAACTCAGTTCAGGCAATGCAAATGCGCCAATTTTGGAATGCCCGACCTGAGTTTGGGCAAGAGGAAAAAACCTATGTTTCAATTACATGAAGCCCAAACTCAGTTCGTCCAATGTATAATATGTAATTTACTATTTTACCAATAGGTCGTGATACGTTTCCGGCAGTTACACGCCATTTGGCAGATTATTGCAATTTTACATTTCTTCCCAAATTTCATTCAAACCACATGTTTGCAATGTTGGAATCAGATGATGATGAAAAATACTTCTTAAGCTCTTCATGCTCAGGTACCAATATTTCAACAGAACACTATGACTATTCCAAAAGTGACTACGAAAGTGAAACTCTTTCATGGTCAACCTGGACTGCTATGTTGGAATAACCTTCCTCCTGCCACTCCAAGATTCCCACAGAAGTGGGGTGCAACAATTGACACTTGTACTTTTACTCAAGAAAAACAATATTTTGAACTGTTTTTTATGACAATTTGATTCACACCATTATGGAAGCGATTAATAGATACACACAGCGATGCATTGAAAGGCAACATCTGAAGCCAAAAAGCCGATCTAAAATGTGGGTAAGTGACCATGAAAAAGAAAATATTTCTATTGCTCCATGTTTTGCAGGGTATTATTCAGAAGCCCGATGTCTCAATGTTTTGGTCAAAAAAGACATATCTTAAAATTCCATTCTTTCGAAAAGTTATGTCCTATGACATATTTCGAATGATAAGAAAATTGACCTTGAATGACACCCTTATGCAAAACTGCAGAAAATTTGGCTCATTCATGTAAAAATCCACTGTAAATGTCTGAGGGACATGAAATTCATGACAGTTGATATAAATAATAATATTGTGGTATTAGTTTATTACATTTATTTTGAAAATTATGTCATTTGATTTATTTTGCTATAATTTGAGCACAAAGTTGCTATAATCCATTAATATTTCCCATATATGTGAAAATATTGAATATGGTAGTTATTTTGTATATATTTTTTTAAATAATCTAATTCAAACATTTTGATGATAATAATGAACAAAATAGAAAGAGAATTTTTTTTTTTTTTTTTTTTTTTTTTTATTTTTTTTTTTTTTTTTTTTTTTTTTTTTTTTTTTTCCATTTTTGGCATGTTTTTCTCAAATGTATTCCACATCCAAAGAGTTAAAAAATGTTAGACCAAAACTCTTCAAATGAGCAATGCCCCAATTAGAAAAAAAGTAATGAAATTGAAAGAAAAACAAACATAATAGATGAGGAATTCAATCAACCTCAGACCCACTTCATTAGGTGGAGAACGCCCACCAGCGGGCGAGCGGTATAGTCGCTGAACACTGGTAGTTCGGTCTGAGGTTTGAATCCTGCGAACGGGCTGGCTGCATGGGTGTTTTCGTGGTTTTCCCTATGTGTAACGTGTATACAAGCCAGTTTCCCTTAGAAAGTCCTCCACGAAGGCATCCCCCCTTAGGCAGATAGCCCTCGAGGCTTTGCCGTAATTAATTAAATAAGCTAAGCGTTAGGTGGAGGAACACAGAAATCAATTAAAAATCTCCTCTTCCACAAAAATCCTTGCAGAAAAGCATTCAGAATTAGCCAATGAACCATTTCAATGTATTTTAGTTATAATAGTTCACCCGAAAATTCTGGCCCTTTCCCAAAGCAAGGAAAAGTAATCTCAAAGTTTCCCAAAGCAAGTAAATTCAAATTAGAATCTTATGCCTTAAATAAAGAGAATTCTATTATATTTAAAGAACTGAAAATGTAAGTGAAATAATACAGTCAAAAGTTGTTAATCTGAACTCATCGGAACTTCGGCGATTCCGGATTACCATTTTTTCCAGATTATAGATCATCAGTTTAAATCTGGTAAGATGGCATGCAGAAATTATAAAATTAAAAATATGAAGCCGTAATTTATGAAATAAAGAACAATTATGATCTAAAAAGTATCAAAATTTACAAAAAAAAAAAAAAAAAAAAAAAAAAAAAAAAAAAAAAAAAAGCTTAATATTTATTTGTTTACTTTATTAAACATTTCTTTCAATGTAAGTTGTTTAAATTGCTTCGTTTTTTGTGATAATGCTTTCTCTTTTCTATAAACAGACATAATTTCTTGTTCAGTTACAAAGTTCCGCTGTTCAAGTCCTGTAATTGCTGTGTCGAGAATACCGACTAATTTGTCAATCGAAATTTTTTCGTTTTCAATAACCTCTGTGTCACTTTCTTCCCTATTGGAAGCGAATTATAATGATGAGGAATTTGATTTAAATTATATCAATGACGGAGTACATCGAGATGAAATACTACATTTAGTAAGGAATTATAAGCCGAATAAAATAAAAACATGTTGACATGTAGGGTTCATTGGATACATGAAGTTGTCGCCACGCCCATACACGTCCATCTGCCTGATACATTTGGAAACAAGACTCATCAGACCATTCAACGTGTTTCCAGTTATGAACAGTAGCAGTGTTGATGAGCCTAGGCAAGGCGTAAAGCTTTGTGTTGTGCAGTCAGCAGCTTGCAGCCATTTGAGGAAGGGTTGCATGTCTGTCATGTTTAATGATTCTCTTCAGTTGTCATTGGTCCCATTCTTTTACAGTTTTTTTGTTGCGGCTGCAGTGTCAGAGATTTAATGTTTTACTGAATTTCTGGTATTCACGGTACATTCGTAAAATGGTCCCATGTGAAACTCAAAAATTTTATCGCTACCTCGTAGATGCTATGTCCCATCACTCGTGCTCTGACTATAACAGCACGTTCACATTCACTTAAATCTTGATAACCTGCAATTGTAGCAGTAGTAACCGATCTAACAACTTGCCATATACTTGTTGTCTAAAATAGGTGCTGCTTACTGCCACACTGTACTGAGATTGGTTCCGTACCTCTATTATTTGCATACGTATGCCTATACTGGTTTTTGTTTTGCTGCTCAGTGTATTTTAAGACATAAAAAAATCACAATGAAGTGTTCCATTTATTAATAATAAAAAAAAAAAAAAAAATCAGAAATAAATTTTATGTTGATAAAAACCATGTGTTCTTTTATTCATGTGGGTTTTCATCCATATGTGCTTTCATCTGTAGGGTATTAGTCGAATAGGTAATTAACACAATTTTTTTTGGTAGGCTTTTGTTTAGTAGCCTTTTATCTGAGAACCCCCTGGAACGTATCATTATAGAACATGCAGTAATGTTTGACGAGTTCCGATAAAAATTTGCGAGTGACCCTTTACATGAAATGACTGGAAAACCGTGCTGTAGATATGATACACATTTAATGTTATTAGTAAAATATACTTACTTCTAGTTTAGTTTATGTATTTTGTTTTGTTACATTTTATACAGTTTAAACCAAAATAATGTTTGCATAAAGCGTTTAAAGGTCTTAAATATTGCAATAAATATTGCATTTATAAATGTGATTCATTTTTATTTTGTAGCACTTTTAAGTGATAACATCAAAGCTGAATAATAATTAATTCTTGAACAAAGGATAATGGAGCAGTGTTTTAGTTTCATTCTTAATGCAAATATTGAGTGCAAAAGAATCATTTAATGCAAATGCAAATTGAGAAAAATGCATAGAGTTTGATGAGAATTTAAATCATTTTCAATATTAGCAGCGCATAACTATTGTATCAGTAACTACTATAATGTCTGACATTTATTAAAATAACGTTATTTCAGTAAATCTGTTAGGGTAAAATTATACTGAAAAGGTAAAACTTCACAGTTTAATCTTTTTAATAAAAATTAAAGTAATATAATTCCATATGATCATATTGCACATTTGCTTAAAGTAACTGTATAGTATTTTAGTGAAACATATTTAACATTTCATTTCTTATTAATTTTCTCTTTTTTATATAATGTTGCATATATATATATATATATAGGGTTGGCAACTAAGTAATTGCGGATTTCACTCATATATGGCTTCAGTTGAATTTTTAGGGTTGCAGACGTAGTACAAATGTAAAGCACATTTTGTTATTTGATAGCTGGCAATTCAGCTGTCAATCAGTAAAAAAAGGTTTTTTTGATCGGTTGCGTAGTTTTCGTTTGGTGTTCGTTGAAAAATGGAAAATCAAAAGGAACATTTTCATCATATTTTGCTTTTTTATTTCCACAAAAGGAAAAACGCATCGCAAGCTCATAAAAAGTTATGTGCTGTTTATGGTGACGAAGCCTTAAAAGAACGGCAGTGTCAGAAATTAGGTTTGCCAAATTTCGTTCTGGTGATTTTTCACTCAAAGATTGAAAAACGCTCTGGTCGTGCCAGTTGAAGTTGATGACGACCTAATCAAAGCAATAATCGATTCGGATCGTCCACAGTACAACACATGAGATTGCAGAGAAGCTTCGTGTATCACATACATGCATTGAAAATCACTTAAAACAATTTGGCTATGTTCAAAAACTCGATACATGGGTTCCTCATGAACTGAAGGAAACGCATGTAACGCAATGCATTAACAGCTGCGATTTTCTAAAGAAACGTAATGAAAATGATCCATTTTTAAAACAACTGATAACTGGCGATGAAAAATGGGTTGTTTACAACAATATCAAGCGGAAAAGATCGTGGAGCAGGCCAGGTGAACCAACTCAAACAACATCAAAAGCTGATATTCATCAAAAGAAGGTTTTGTTATCAGTTTGTTGGGATTACAAAGGAATTGTCTACTTTGAACTCTTACCACCCAACCGAACGATCAATTCTGATGTCTACATTGAACAACTAACGAAATTAAACACTGCAGTTGAAGAAAAGTGGCCCGAATTGACAAATCGAAAAGGTGTTGTATTCCATCATGACAATGCAAGGCCACACACATCTTTGGTCACTCGGCAAAAATTATTGGAGCTTGGTTGGGATGTTCGCCACATCCACCATATAGTCCTGACCTTGCACCATCTGATTACTTTTTGTTTTGATCTTTACAAAACTCCTTGAATGGTAAAAATTTCAATAATGATGATGATGTCAAATCGTACCTGATTCAGTTTTTTGCTAATAAAAACCAGAAGTTTTATAAATGTGGGATTATGACGCTGCCTGAAAGATGGCAAAAGGTCATTGATCAAAATGGGCAATACATTACAGAATAAAGTTATTTTAGTTCCATGAAAAAATTGTCTTTGATTTTCTAAAAAAAATCCGCAATTACTTAGCTGCCAACCCAATATATATATATACTTTGCAGCAGTTGTGCAAGTAGTAGTAACTTGTTTTCGCACTAAATGAATTTAAGATCATACAACATATATATATATATTAAACAATTCAGCAACTTTTTCCATCCTTTTTTATAATTTTTATTTATTTGTTACCCCACAGAAAGAAATTCTGGATAATTCAAGCTCTGAAGAAAAGGAGATTAAAAGATTAAAAAAAATTAAACAACTTGAAGGTAGAAGTAATAAGTTGTGGGTTCCACCTACTACCACAGATATAGCTTCATCAAGTGCTGTGCAAGATATTCCAAATTCTAAGAATTGTATTGATTTTAATGATGACCCAATAGGTATTCCATATGGGCCATCAATTGAATTATTGCTTACAGGTGTAGATAGCGCACATCAAGAAAATCCTAAGCCTGTTATGGGACTAGATTTTGTTTCTGTTCCTGTAGAAACTGTTGATTCAGCTATTGAAACCAACAGCAGTAAAGCTGAGATTTCAAATGACACTTCAAATGTAGTTATTTGTGATGAAATAGTTGAAAAATCTGCTGATCCTCGTGCTTCATTGATGCCTATTGCTGAATGTGATAAAAATTCCATGACCCCTGTCAAAGACGAGGTGTTGTGTAGTAAAGAACAATCAAGTCAAAATTTGTGCAAAACTGATTTGCAACAACATTGCGACCAAAATGTTTCTCGCAAAAAGCATTCAAGCCATAAATCAAAGTCTCAAAGTAAACACAAATCTTCTACAAAAGATCGCTTGAGATCTAGATCCCGGTCAAAGACACATGAAAATTCTAAATATGAATCTTCATCATCTAGAAATAGGAAAAATGTGTCAGAATCTCATGTTGGAAAGTCCGATCATTCAAAATCACACTCCCGAAAATCAAAATCGAGTAGCAGGGAGAGAAAACGGAATAAAACTTATTCTAGAGAGCGCTCAAGATCCAACAGTTGCAACAGATCAAAAAGTAGAAGATATTCTCGATCTAGGTCAAAGGAATCCCAGAAGAAAAGAAAACATTCCGAATCTCGAATTTCTCATAAAAGTCAGAGATTGCATTCTAGATCATCAGAAGATGAATATTTATCTAAATCAGATTTATCTAGATCAAGAGAGAAGAAGTATCAACACAGATCTCGTGCTCATAGACACAGATCTAGATCTGGATCAGAATCCTCATGTGAAAAACGAAAGTCTTCTAGAAAGTCTCAAGAAAGATTTAATCGAACTTCTGATTCAAGGAGGAAATCGAGAGAAAACAATTCAAGGTACATTTTCCCTTATTAAATAAGTTTTTATAAGAAATAATTAGCTTTATTGCATATGCCAGAGTTTAAAAAAATGTATTGAAGCACCAATATTCATAAAAATTCAAGTGTTTTTTGTTAACGTGAAAAGAAACATTGAAAGTTTACCCAAAAACATTTATCTCATTATTTAAATACCTTTAAAATCTGTAATTATAATAAAAATCAATAATTATTAATTTTATGCTAATTAAAAGAAACTATAATATTAAATATTTTTAAGACAGTTTTAATAGACATATGTTCATATAATTGCATGAATTTGCACCAATTTCATTTCATGTTGCCTTATCTTTTCCTGTTCTTCATATTCTATTTGTTTTCATCAGTCTTCATTTTGTCTTCACTTACTAACAGTAGTTATCAAACAATCTATAACGAACTGTTTATCTTCCAATTACTGTGTCCTCTGCAAAATAATTTCTTTCAATTTCATTATTGTGATCTTTTGAGATAATGTCGCACCAGTTTGTTCAGCAACATGCAACAATTCTTAAATCCTTTTTCTACTTTTGACATTTTTTCGAATCGGAAATAAAGTCCTGTCACAGATACCAGTAAAATGCAAATAACGGCCACAAAATAAAAAGTTTTGGATGCCTTTTAAATCATCCAAATTAACTATACGTTCTGCAAATGAATGAATGTGATTAGCAACTATTTATTCTGTTAAATATAGCTTAAAATTAGCATTACTAACAAAAACCACCATTTTATCAACATTTGAATTCAACAAACAGCACTGCCATTCCATAAAAGGAAAAAGTGAAACAAAAATGTAAGTTGAAAATAATAGGTGAAATAGTAGTTAAGTTTAAATACTGATATTAATTATTGGCTTTTAACAAAAGTTTCTCACCACCACAAATAGGGCCTGTGCAAACAGTTTGCGTTCACGTGTTAAATCATATTTCATCGAACAATTTTTGACATTTGAAAGGAAGAGACTTGCTTTAGAATTGCGGTAGCCAACTGGTGGTCCATGAAAAATTTTTGATGGTCTGCAGAAAAATTGGGACATAATTTATGCATTTTTTATGGACATTTCTCACTTATTAATAATTATCTTTACATTTTTTTGTTTTGTTTTTTTGTTTTCAGATTCAAATAAAATAGGTAATAGACACATAATGAGTGAGAAAAAGCAAGTGACTGTCTTGCCTTTCTTTAATAAAACTGAAGATAGAATAACTAGTAAAATTGGAATTACTTCACTTACCGAGAGGTGATCAATGAATCAAAGCATCCACATTCCTCATCACGGTCAGACTGCATTAGAAAGAAAGTTCAAACTGGAGGCGCAAAGAAAAAAAACCAAAATAACAAGGAAATGATTCAGACAACTCGAAATTTGGATTTATTCCAGAACCTGGTAGTTAGCTGAATCCATGGTCTTTTTATATTATCTGTTCTGAGAGTTTATCTAATGATGCCATGAAACCTTCAAAACTCGAAAAACACTTGAAATCAAAACACCCAAATTCAGCAAAGAAACTACTTGAATATTTTAAAATAATGTGGGAAAATATGCAAAAATATATAGGTATCTTAAAAATATGGTTGTTTAAGATAAGTCCCTATCAAAGGCTTTCCTATGTGATAGCACTTCAAATAATGAAAACCAAATTGCCTTATATGGAGAAGAGTTATTCAAGCCTTGTGTATCGCAAGCTTATGAGAAGATTTTGGGGAAAAAACTGTACAGAAACTGAAAGTAATTCTCAAACTGAAAGTAATAAGTCTGCTAACACTTTTAAGCCCAGAATGGAAGAAATGACTGAAAGTGACTGGACATCGCTCAGGAGTTGTTGCAAAGGTGAAAAATGTAAATCGCTCAGATTTTCTGTCTACACACTGCCTTACACATAATGAGCATCTTGTGGTGAAAAAAATTTCCCCAGTCCCCAGTATTATCTGTTTTACAAATGAAATTCAACAAGCAATATTCTCGATTTTTGAACATTTTGAAGAAACGGTGTTATTAATATCATAAATGAAATTCAACAGAAAGCAATTAATTCTCGAGTTTTTGAAACATTTTGTTGAAGAAACGGGTTCCCAGTACACTCACCTTCTTCTTCTTCATGCTGACATGAGATAGCTTTCGAGGGGCAAAATACTGACTCGACTGTTTGTCTTGCGTGAAGAAATCAAATTATTTTTCAGCAGCAAAATAATCCGGAATTTCAAGAACTCTTGTCGGATGATTTGAGTGGCAGATGTTTTTCCTCTGTTATTAGAACTAAACATATGCAAGGACAGCTTAAGCACATATTTACAGTACAAGTGAAATAGATGCTTTTCAAAAACAATATCACTGTGCCAAACGCTGTAGAAGGAAATCTACAAATGTTTATAAATTTTAGTAAAAGTATGGGAGAGAAGGATCTCAACGAGCAAGTGGTATCCATTATTCAACAGCACTTACAGTCACTGGCAGAATGTTTTGGTTTTTATTACCAGCAAATTAGGTATGAATGAAAAAGAAAGCAGATTGATCTGCTTTGTGAGACAGTTTAAAAACTAAATTCTAGTCATCTTTATCAAGAGCTTATTTTTGTCTTTCTATAAAAAATGAATATCCATCACTGAGTGGAAAAGGAATGAAAATTTTAATTTCGACAACATATTTGTATGAAAAGGCGTTTCCAATTGTAACAGTAATTAAAACTCGGTGCAGGTTTCAGCTTGAAATAAACATGGCTCTTGTAGTGATACCACTAGAACCAAAAATCCACAAACCGATTTCAAACAAACAGAAACAAATACACTGAAAATGTGTAATATTTAAATAAACCTAAAATGTTTCATTTTTTTTAAATAACTGCTCTATAACTTTGTTACCTTTAATGGCTGTATTTCACATTAATAAAATAAACAGCTGATTATTATTACATAACTGTATTTACATTTTTCTTCTAAATTCATATTAGTGGTCTGCCAAATAAGAAATTATACATTTTGTGATCCATGAAGTTCTAAAGGTTGGCAACCGCATCTTTAGAACACTGTGCTGTGAAATAAAATATAATATTGTTATCATTAATTACAAGGTGTCTGAAATGGAACTACCATCCTACCAGATCATTTACTTTCAGTTCTTTTGCTAAAAGTCAACTACAGAATGTCACCAAATCATGTGTACAGCTTTAAGTGCTTATGTTATATCATGTGACATTGTGAAAGTTTGGTATCAAAAGTTAAAAAACAAAGACTATGTCATTCAAGAAGCAGAGTGCTCTGGCCAACCTGCTGATGTTGATGAGGCCCACCTGCAAGAACTTATGGAAGAGGATTAGTATGCAACCACTCGAGAGCTTGCTAAGGAGTTAGACGTTAGTGCCATGCAGATAAGGACAAACGTGTTCACGTGCACTAATCTGCTATCAACACAAGGATAAAATTCTGGACCAGATCATCACTTGTGATTAAAAGTGAATTTACTTCAACAACACAGGTTGAAAAGAGGGTTGGTCTGTGCCCAATGAGCCCATCAGAAGCATCACAATGTGCAGTGTGACTAGCAAAAAGATCATGCTTTGTATCTGGTGGGAATGCCATGGTATTATCCACAAAGATTATCTGGGAAAAAGGAAAAACCCTTCACAGTAAGGTATACAGTGAGATGCTAGTCCATAATGTCCAATTAAGTTTTGGTGCAAAAAGGTAATGTTCCATCAAGAGAATGCAAGACCACGTGTGTCTGCATTCACGGGCTGGACTCTATGGCCTTGAATGGGATCTTTTGCCACACCCACCATATAACTCCAATATCGGTCCTTCAGACTTGTACCTTTTTTTACACCTGTAGCTACATCTTGCTGGTGCTATCTTCCATTCTGCACAGAACGTCCAAAATGAGGTTGATCTATTTTTGGACTCGTGGCCACCAAGTTTCTGGGCCGAAGGCTTTGGAAAGCTACTAAAATGTTGGCAAATAATCATATATTTGTGTGGTGATTACTAACAGCACTAAAGGTACTGCTTTCATGTTTTTTTTTAAGCTCTATTAAGAAAACTTTTTTGGTGTAAAACTTGCATTATAACCAAAAATTTTACAATCTGTAACAATACCTTTCTGCTGAAGTTTGTCATTTTAATGGAATGCTAGTCTTACCTTATTGAATTTAGGTTATGGAAATATATATATATATATATATATTTACCACCATAGTTGTGCTAAAAAGTGCTTATTGTAAAATTATACTAAATATGCCTGTTATGAAATTAAGGCATCTTTCAGTAGTAAACAACATCTGTACTAGAAAGTATATATGGGAAGAAAGTGGGCTGCGAATATGAACACGTGCAGATATCTTCTGTGCTAATATAAGGCAGTTTTTATGTTTTTCATATTGCAAAAAGTTTCGTTTTTCACGTTATGACATAGTGTGATAACTATATTTCTTTCTAGCTGAAGCTTTGCTTTTGTTCTTTATTTATTCTTTCAAGATAAAATTTTTCTGCAGTAACTATGTTTACGTTTCGCAGCCCTGAGCATAAAAAGATTGATCAAGCTAAAATCTTAGAAGTTGCGAAAAAGAAGTTGCAAAGCATGATTGAGAAAGGTACTTTACCCGAAGGCTTGTCCTTGCAGACTATCAAGAAGGAAGAACTGGCATCTATTAAAGCTGGAGGCAAATCTGTGCAAGAACTTACAGGTATTCTTTTAACTAATTAAATTCTGAATTTTCTTTTTTTATAAGTTTTTAATAGTTGCAAGCTATTTAAAACTACTTTGTTATTGAAATCAGCAATGACAAAGACTTAATTTTTCTAATTATTTATAATTTTTTACTCTAGAGTGTATTTATTATTATCTAAGTTTATCTCCAGTCACTTTGTTTTACTCTAGAGTTATAATCTTTGTTCATCTCCATTTTATGAATAATTAGAAAATTAAGTAAAATTAAGTAATTTTTCTAATTATTTTTACTCTACATAAATTTTTACTCTAAAGTGTGTTTATTATAATCTATGTTTATCTCCAGTTATGTTTAGATTTTCTCCAGGGTACTATTCCTTTAGAGAGACGTCAATTAAAAATGAAGAAAAATGGGAAGAAAACAATGCTACAACAATATGGCAAATATCGTAGCTCGAGAATTAACTTTTGATATATCATCATTCATTATTTTTTAGCCAAATTTTACCATTTTATTTAGTACGATGGATTACACAATTTAGCTGTTACATAATGATGAAGAGGCTGTCGTAAGATTCTTTCAGGACAAAGGAATAATTCATAGCAATAGAGTTTATTCTCAAAATCATCCGATGAAGTTAACTTTTAACTCAAACAAAGCTCCTATATGGCGTTGTTACGTACGTTCTTGCTGTGAAATAGAAAAGGATTGGATGTGTTCTTAAGGGACACTTGGTATTTGGGGGTTTATTCCGGGAAAGCAGAGAATGTTTTCTGGTTGGCGTTCCTGATCGTTGTGCTTCAGCATTTATGACTGCTGTACAGGAAAATATCACGGATGACAGCATTATATTTTCAGACTGCTGGAAAGGATGTAAGAAAGAAGAAGTAAGAAATGCTGAGTAGGAACATTTTACTGTGAATCACAGTAGAATGAAAATGGATGCAATACCCAAACTGTGGAGCGATTGTGGGGCTGTGCTAAATGGAGAAATAATCAAGGCTTTTAAGACACGAGTAAAAATATTTAGTAAAAAGCAGCGGTCATATTTGATTGATAACACTTCAAGCCATCCATTTGACCAATTTAAGTGGGTCAAATGCATTGGATGGCTTGAAGTGTTATGAATCAAAAGTAAAGCTTTCGGTTCTAGCTTTTTAAATCCACAGTAGGGTTTTAAGACACGAGCAAAAATATTTATTAAACCAGTTCTTGAAAATTTTTATAGTGATTCAAGATTTTTTATTTAACTTCTAATTTACTAGTAAAGATGATTTTATTATTAATTTCAATGCCATTGGAGTTTTGGAATGATAAACAAGCAGTGGTTTTAATTTAAAGTCTGCATTAGCATTACCTTACAGCAGAAATGTTAAACGGTCTTTTGCAGCTTTAAATCGTAAACCAGCTAAGCAATATTGATACTGCATGCATGGAATCCCAGTATTACTGCATAATACTGATGCAAAATTAAGTGGGGTCACATTGTATTTGTACTTATTGCAGTAACCTGTACTAATATAGTTAATTAAATAAATCTGTTAATTTTTAGATTTTTGTGTGAAATTATCCAAAAAAGAAAATGAAGAAGATGTTGCTAATGGAGCTGGGACAAAAGAGGAAGAAGGTGGTGATGAAGATGAAGATGATTTTATCCATCATCCTTTCAGGCTTAAAGAACCATCTGTTTTAAAGTTGAATATTAAGGTAGAGGATTTTATTCTTTTAAAAAATCCTGTGTGATAAAGAAGCAATTGAAAAAAAAATATATATATAAGGTAAATTTTTGTACAGTAATAGGTAAAAAATAGATCTGTCAGTTTTAATTTACTACTTTCTACTTATATTTTAAAATATATATACATTTGAGCTTTGTTCAGCTGATAATGTAGAAACTGGAAAAGAAAAGTTCAAGTTAATGAGGCTTTTGGAAAAATTGCCATGTTCAGCCATGGTTTGATGTAATAATGCTTATAAATATATCTAATTTAAAGAAAGTACAATTTTCATATGTTAAAAATAAAAAAAAATTATGTATATGTTAATGCTGAAAGAATTCAGTTTTTAATCTGATATTTATATTAAGGAAATATAAATAAAGTCTCAGGATTTTAACTGATAGCATCTGTCCATTTGAAAGTGGTCAAAGTTAATAATATAGTTTCCTTGAATTACTTTAATTCTGTGATATTTATTTTTCTTCCAACTGTAAAAATATTAAATTAAAAATCAAGAAATTCAGTTTTTAATCTGATATTTATATTAGGGAAATATAAATAAAGTCTCAGGATTTTAACTGATAGCATCTGCCCATTTGAAAGTGGTCAAAGTTAATAATATATTTTTCTTGAATTCTATAATATTTATTTTTCTTCCAACTGTAAAAGTATTAAATTAAAAATGTATATAGTATTTTTTTAAAGAAACTGTCGTATTCTATAAAAAAGGAAAGAGGGGGGATTATGTTGCTTGTATTTGTAAAATAAACTACAGTTTTCCTTGAAATTTACATTTTGGAATACTTAGAGAAATAAAATACAGTCAAAAGTCGTTAATCCGGACTCGTCGGGACTTCGGCGATTCCGGATTATCGATTTTTCCGGATTATAGATCATCAGTTTAAATCGCGTAGGATGGCATGCAGAAATTCTAAAATTAAAAATATGAAACTGTAATTTATGAAATAAGGAACAATTATGATCTAAAGGGTATCAAAATTTACAAAAAAAAGCTTAATATTTATTTGTTTACTTTATTAAACATTTCTTTCAATGTAAGTTGTTTCGTTTTATGTGATTATACTTTCTCTTTAATTCTATAAACAGACATAATTTTTTGTTCACTTACAAAGTTCCACTGTTCAAGTCCCGTTAATTGCTGTGCCGAGAATACCGACTAACTTGTCAATCGAAATTTTCGTTTTCACTAACCTCTCTGTCACATTCTTCATGTTTTTATCCATTTTTTGCAGCAATTCCACTTTTTGTTTGATGGACATCGAAACATACTTTCATTTTGTACGATCCTTTGGGAGCTCCAGAATCAAAAATTCTATTTGACATAATCGAAAGTTCAAGTTTACTTTTTTAGTATTGCTCTTACAGTCTGCAAAAAATAATAAGCCGGATCCAATTCGAAAATTAAGGAACAATGCAATCATCAACATTAACTGAAATAGATAATTATATAATTTTAGCTTACACCGTCCGCTATACATAAAATGCGCACGTGAAAACGTATTCTGCACTTGCGCACACGCAAATGCGCAGTCGTAAGAGGTCTTACGCGCACGCGTAAACACCTATGCGCATGTGTCAACGCGGAACATGCGCAGAAAGTTTTTAGCTTTGAGGTCCGGATTATAGATCATTCTGAATTAACGACTTTTGACTGTAGTTACTTGGGATTGTGACTGAGAAAACTGTCTAAGGATAAATAATTTTGTTGTTTAAAATTTCTGTGAAGAGAGTATAGGGGTTATGGTACCTTGGCTTGGGGATGTTATTTGACTTTAGCTTATTAAGAAAGAAAAGTAAAAAAAAAAAAGGGGGGGGGGATATTGTTGGTTGACCGAGGTCCAAAACCTAGTAAATGAGCTTTTTTCGTGCCCCCCTTTAAAATGTCTAGTGGGAATATAAGCCAGTTTTCCATAAAAGTCTTCCCTGAAAACATTCCTTGCTAGGCAGACAGCACTTGCTTGTTTTATCCTAATTGTTTAAAGAAACAATTTCAGATTAAAGAAGTTCAGTTTATAAACAAAGATAATATTAATGTATTATAACAGCAACTCTGCAATCCACAGCACTAACTGTGTAGTGTGGAGGGGGGGGGAACTGCCAAGTAGCAAATGCACAGAAAAAAACAGAAACATTACCGAAAAAATAAAGTATAACAAAATACAGCTTTTCACTTAACACTTATTTCTTCAACTTTAGATATGCTAATAAAAGATCTGCTCAGGGTTTTAAAAAGAGAAAATATTCTGAATTGCACTAGTGCAGTTAAAGTGAATAAATGTACTGGTGATTAGAAAATCTAAATATCCTTTATCACTGGCAGATATCAAATATCTTCCAGTGATATAAATTCATAGAAGCTTGGATGGACAAGTATATTTTTCTTTATTGGTTCAAAAGCACTTTTGTGCTATATGTTATAAATGAGTTGAAAACTGAAAGGAAACTTGGAAAGTAGATTGTCAAGTTGTTTTATTGATTGATATGTATCAAGTTAATACTAGCAAAGGTAAACCATATTACAACAATATTAAACTTATATTTCTTCATTCTGTTTTGATCGTGTTGCTACATTAAAGAATTACCCAGAATTTAAAAACAATCTACCCTAAAAATCTCAGGAAACACATATTTCTTCCTTCGAACATAACTGTTTTGATCATGCTGATATTAAGGAATTATGCAGAATTTAAAAACAACTGTCCAAAAAATCTTAGGAACAGACTTGTGAAAAACTGAAGGTTCCCTAATAGAATTTCAGTCTGCATTTCCAATAAAAAATTTCACCTTTAGGCTGGCTGATACTTGAAATTCTATTATAAAATGGAGACTTAGAGAGGAGTGGTGAAAACTTTGATTTTCATTCATCGATCCATCTAATGAAAATTTTAGCTGTTTTAAAATGAGATAACAATGTGGCAACAATATAAAAAGTTTTAACAGGTACAAAAGAAGGTGAAGAATCCATTTTTAGGTGATGAACATTTGAAATAGAGGTGTGGATTAAATGTGTCAAAAAATCTGCATAGAACTGAATTGTCAACAGAAGCTGATTTAATTAAAAAGTCATTGTCTGCGGAAGAAAGAAATAATTCTGGTTATCAGATGTGGAGAACTTTCTTGTGTCATGCTAGCAGTTTTGTGAGGAAAACTCTTTACATACAATACAAGAAGGCTCAGAATTGCATTTCATTAGAGAGGGATTTATGAAAAATAGGGAACTTATATTAAAACAGACATTTGCATATTTTGTCGAATGTCAACTGCATCGAAGCAATATTAATACAACAAAGGTTTTTAACATTCTTTTTGTAGAAAAAATAAAATATAAATACTTTTGACTTATCTTAAATGCATTTTGAACAAATTTCTTACATTTATTTAAGAAATTCCATAATTGGTAAGGTGTTTTACTTTCATGTGTTTAAGGCCTAAGAAAATACTTTTACATCTGGGATTTATTTTTTTAATTCTTACATAATTTTAGATGTGAACTTTTGGTATTCAACTTGATAACAAATCAGATGACTATTTTTATAATTTTAGACCAGAAATTTTTGACATTCCTTTAGCTTTTCTATGATAAACTGCATTTTTTAAACACTCAACTACAGTACAAAGTCTTTAATTCGGACTCGTCGGGACTTCAGCGATTCGGGATTATAGATCATCAATTTAAATCTGGTGAGCTGGCATGCAGAAATTATAAAATTAAAAATATGAAACCGTAATTTATGAAATAAAGAGCAATTATTATCTAAAGAGTGTCAAAATTTACAAAAAAAAAAAAAAAAAAAAAAAAAAAAAAAAAAAAGCTTAATATTTATTTGTTTACTTTATTAAACATTTCTTTCAATGTAAGTTGTTTAAGTTGCTTCATTTTTTGTGCTAATACTTTCTTTTTAATTCTATAAACAGACATAATTTCTTGTTCAGGTCCTGTAATTGCTGTGTCGAGAACACCGACTAACTTGTCTACCGAAATTTTTTCGTTTTCAATAACCTCTCTGTCACTTTCTTCACTATCGGAAGCAGTACATTGAAACATGCTTTCGTTTTGTAGATCCTTTGGCAGCTCCAGAATCGAAAACTCTTTTTGACATAATCGAAAGTTCAAGCTTACTTTTTAAAAAATTGCTCTAGCAGTCTGCAAAAAATAATGAGCTGGATCCAATTAGAAGATTAAGAAACAATGCAATCTGCAACATTAACTGATAACATTAATTAGATAATTTTAGCCTAGTTTATATCGTCCATTATACAGTAAACGCACATGCGTAAACATATTATACGCATGCGTAAACGCATTATGCATTTACGTATGCGCAGAAAGTTTGTAGCTTTGAGGTCCAGATTATAGATCATTCCAGATTGTGGACGCCCGGATTAAAGACTTTGTACTGTATTTAGAAATTTTGTGATCCAGCATTTGGCATCCTATATTTTGTCTGGATAATTGAACTTTTATTATATTTTATTATTTTCTGAATTTTAATCAGTCAAAATTTCCAGTAAGTCAGATTGAATGTTTAAGTGTAGAATTTAAAAATTAAAGTCAACTTATTTATACTATTATCACCCTAATGCCTTTAATTTTGGTTCATCAAAGTCTGATAGTATTTTATGCTTATATTAAACATACTTGAATGGGGAAGGAAAATTTGCACAGACTCTTAATATTAGAGTTTTGACCAGTTGTCTTTTGGTTTTTTTGTATCAGATTGAGTGAAAAAGTTATTTGAAACATTTATGTAACTCTAAACTTTTGATTTTTGAGTGATTCCAATTGGGCTATAATGACTGCCAAAAGTACTGAGAAACCTTATATTTTGCTTTAAAAATAGTATTTAAAAAAATGTTAAATTAGAGTAATTTTTTCTGTACTTTATAGAGTAATTTTTTTGTACTTCTTTAATAATATTTTTATTATATTCTTTACGAAGCTGTGTGCAACTTTTTTGGTGTAATTTCACGGTCAGACTAAACTGGGATTTATTAGGAATAAATTAAAACAAGTAATTTTTGAGTTTGCTTTAAAAGTGTTTATAATTTTTTGGAACGGGGTTACATTATTGAAAAAAATATTATTATTCACTCTTTAGAGGCTATATATGTAGAAGCATTAAAAAGTGGATTTTTTTGAAAAGAAGGATGGGATAGAAGTAAATTTAAAAGAGCATATAATATCTGTTGAGGATGTAATTAAAATTTCTTAGTTGTTTAGTATAAGTAACTGCGAAATAAAATAATTTATCACTTCCATTTTAAAGCAAAATATTTTGTCAATTTTGAGAGGTTATATGATTAACTTATCTGGTTTATAGGGCTTTATCTGAATATATAGGGCTTCGACAAAGATACGGAAATACCAAAATAAAAAACATATTGCTGTGCAAGAAAACTGTTGACATTCAAAATAGCTTGTAGTTTTCTTGGAATGGACAAAACGAGGTCCTGTATGGTTTGCCAGGAAATCTTTTGCCACAGTTCCTATAAAACGTTGACAAGTTCAGCGAATGATGATGGCAGTGGATGCACTTATGCAGATGTCTCTCCAAAATTGCCGAAAAGGCTCATAATATTGATATCTGGTGACAATGGTGGCCATGGTAGATGTAAAAGTTAAACCTTTGCGCGGAAAAACAGTCCTGGACAATGTGAATTGAACGAACAGGAGCTCTATCATCTTGGAGTATGGCATCACCATTGGGGAACAAAATTTGTACCATGGGATGGATGTGATCAACATAAATTATCACATAATTGGGAGTAATGTGACCTTCCACAATAATCATGGGTCCCATGGAATACCACGATATGACTGCCCAAAGTGTGACTGAACCAGATTTGATGAGATTCATGTTTCACACTCAGCAGAGTCTCTATCATATGCTTGGGACAGCGTTTGTCAGGCATAAATTCACCCAGAAGTTGGAAACAGTGTGAAGCAAGACTCATCTGATGAAATGACAGTCGTCCGTTGCTCTGTAGTCCAAGTTTTATAACTCTGACACCACCTTCTCCTTCTACAGGCATTTTGATCAGTGGGTTTTGAATTGTAGCTCACCTAATAAATACCCTGCTTGTGGAGCTCCCTTTGTTTTGGTGCTGACCAGGTTTGTGAGTGCAACATTCAGTTCATCAGTCAATTTGTAGCTGAAGTCTCTTATTTTTCATCACAATCCTCTCCAATGATTGTCTGTCATAATCACTCAACACACATTTTCATCCATGCTGTGATTTAGTGGATGAGGTTTTTCAGGTTTTCCTATATGAGTTGAAAGTCATAGATATTGTGCCTCTTGAAACACTAAACACTTCAGCTACCTTGGTTATGGAAGCACTGACCGTACGAGACCCAATAATTTGCACATGTTTGAATTCATTTAGCTCCGACATGATGCATTCACAACGAAACATGAACAATGTTTCGTTAATGAATGACACTTGTAAACATTTCAGTTCAAGCATGCATTTTCATGAGGTGTTTTCATATTTTTGCCCAACCACTGTATCCTCTCTGAAGTTGTTTATTGTGCTTACTGAGATCTGAATTTATCATCCTATCTCTGAGAAGAAAAGCACAGATATATACCCTGTTCCCAATTAAGCTCCCACTGGTGTGAGGGCAGCATGGCGGACTAGGATTCAACATCTTTTCTATCTTCTTTATCCTTAACAAAGTGAGAGTCTTCTTGTAATATGAAAATGGAGCTCTAGGGTCCCATGTAATTACTAATGGCATGCAATGGTGTATATTAAAAGTATTATTATATTTGAAGCTAAACATGTATTTGAAATTTCTTTCAAATTAAAAAAAAAAAAAAGCAACGTCACTATATATGAACTGTGAGTTATATACTTCGTTTTGTGTTATAATGTATTGCATTTAGCTTATTTGCTTTAATAATTTTTAAGTTTGGATTTTATTTCTAGAATGCTGTTCAGATACCTATCAAAACTCATGCTGAGAAAGTTGCAGAAACTGCAAGACTTAGTTCACAATTTCCTGTATCTAGTGGAAATCAGCACAAACAGAAAGAATTGGAATGGATACCTGTAGAACCTGAAAAATCCAAACCAAATCCAAAACCTAATAGTTCACAAGTAACTACAACTCTAAATGTAAAAGAACCAAATGTCCAAGCATCAAATCCTGCTGTATGTGAGCCTACCGTTTCAGAACCTGTTCCTCCAAATGTAGATTTACCTCTCATACCAATGCCAGCAGAAACTTCTGCTACTGTGATTTCATTTTCAACACCAACTCCAGTGTATCAAACAGCTATATCACCAGTATCCCTAACATCAAGCAGCAGCAACTATTCAGCACAATCTGAATCACCTGTGTTTAAACCACCAAAGGTTAGAATTCCATGAATTTGTATTATGGACTTTGTGTTATCAAAATTAATTTTAGATAAATTTTGGGAGGTTTCTAAATTTTACATGTGTAAGTTTTAAATCAGTGTTTAATTTATTTTTATAATGCTGAACATTGTCACTTGAGTATTAGTCGTGAAATCAGTGTTTTATTTATTTTTATAATGCTGAACAGTGGTATTTGAATATTAGTTATGAAATCTGTATTTCATGGGGGGGGGGGGGGGGGGGGGGGGGGAGAGGGGGGGGGGGGGGGGGGGGGGGGGGGGGGGGGGGGGGGGGGGGGGGGGGGGGGGGGGGGGGGGGGGGGGGGGGGGGGGGGGTATTTTTATAATGCTGAACATTGGTACTTGAGTATTAGTCAGTATTATACACCTCATTAATTTGTTGGTACCTTTTGATAAAGAAATGTATTTTCATTAACTACAGATCAATGAAATAGATCTTTTTTTTTTTTTATTTTATTTCTAGTAAGTGTTGTTTAATCGCATTTAATATCACAACAAATTATTATTGTCTGTCTGCTGATGAACTCTGAACTAAGCAGGCAAGTGACTTCGCTTGAAGCACTTTCCAGCTCTTATTCTAACCGTTTGTCAACTGTAGCTAATTGTACATTTTCATTCTGCATGCAGAGTTCATGTGTTGTGTCTGGTATTGTCATGTAGAGTTTCATTCCGTGAGACTTGGAACACTCCGGATTTTTTGGTGGAGTATTGCGTGTTTGGAAGTAATAGATTACATGTGCTTCATTTTTTGATGGATAATTTTTGATAAATAAATTATATAAAATGCAACATAAATTAACACAAAATGATCAAAATTAGTCAGAAAAACTTTGTAAGGTTGCTAAAAAAATGGATATATTATAAGGATGTGTTTGTTCTTATTAGACTGAAGTTAAAAATGTAATAAAAAGAAGTAACCCCTCCCCCACCAAAAAAAAAAAAAAAAAAAAAAAAAAAAGAACATCTTTTTAGAAGAATCTGGAAGTTTCTTGGATTGCCAAATGTTTAGAGTTAGAATAGTGTTTTTCATGATATATTAGTAGGTGCCCGTTAATTAGATGAATACCAGAATATTTTTTTAGTCTTTCTTTGAAAAAATTGGTCTTCTTCCATTTTATAAAAATTGAATTGAAAAGTTATGTATTGTATTTAGAACATCTGCAGTTAATTCTCAATAATTTGTGTCAGTTACTGTAATTAATATAAAATTCTGGTGGAAATTAAGTATAGAAGCTATAAAATCAATAATTAATAAATTATTTTCTGATCTATGAATTATTTGCATATTATTGCTTATATGCTTTCTTCAGAATTACCTATTTTAAAAGTTGTTTGTTCATATATTTCTAACTATTTCTCTTATTTGAGTTCTGTTGTGTCATGTAATATTAAATATTATCTACTTAATATTTGTTACTGAGAATATGTGAATTTAAATGACGTGTTCTGTGCATTTTGGAATCATGTTTAATATTTTATGCAATCTAAATAGCATATTTTTTCGATTATTTTTGCATTATTTGCATTTAAGAAATAATAACTAAACTTTCAGATATTAATTATTCATAATTTAAAGTTTAAATCTTTTTGTCATTGAAAAAGTTTTCCTGATTTCTTAAAAAAAAAAAAAGTCTCCTGATTTTTCGAGTGTTGTAGGTTGGCAAATATGTATATGTGAGATATTGATACATTAGATCCAGTGGAGTATAATTCTGATATATGAATGCTAATAAATGATAATTTTTTAAATAAAGATCTGAAAAACTTGGAAATAACAGTGGAAAAGAAAAAAAAAAGCTAATTCAAAAATGCAAAATATGCCATTGAATCATAGATTTTTATTTTTCTGAGCAAGAATTTTGAAGAATCAGTCATGCATTTGCAGAAACTTGAATTCAAGACTTCCCATCTGTTAGCTGGATGTGATAACTACACCAGAAGGACACTTAGATGAGTTGTTTTTAATTCCTTATTTACGTGATTTGGAGGCAGATGTGAAACTCTTTTGGCCAAATCAACATGGCGAATTATTGTTCTGCTTTGGAGTTTTTAGTGAAAGTATCTAAAGTTATCGTTATTTATGAGTCCAAAGTGCATTAGCTAGTAGGACTATTAATTTTGTTTTGTCATTTTGTGACACTTCCCTATAAATGGCATTTCACTCCTCAAATTGTTGCCACCAAATATTATCTCCCTAAATTATATTTAAAGAAATTAAATAAGGAAGAATCTGCATAAATGTATGTATGTTTCTCACATTGTGATAAAATAACTGTACCTAGAGCCATCAAATTTTGAATAACATGTCTCCACCCGAATATGCATCTGGAACCCTGAATTTGGAATTTGTTTTATTATCTATTTCATATTTTGTAAAACATTTATGAGTTTTTGATTAAGAAACTGAATGATTTCAAAGTAAGCAGTGGCAACACTGTATAGAGGGGAATTTTTTTTTTTTTATCTTCAGTACGCAAGACTGTGTATCGAAAACTCATAAAAATATGCTCTTTTTGTGATATTGCTTTTGAATCCAATTTTATGGTTTAAATGCGAAGAACATAATATTTGATAAATAAACGTAACATACAAAACATTAAAACAAAGCCCCTTAGAGCATAAGTCTGAAAATCTGAAATAAATGTAAAATACTCAGAATGTTTTTAAAAAACTTTTAGCACAAAGGGGCAATTTGCCCAGAAGGGCTGTTAATTTAATTTTGGCATTTTGCGTTGATTCACTGTAAATGGGAAATCACTTTTTAAATAGTTGCCACTTTTTAAATAGTTTTAATAGTTAATAGTTTTAGAGCCCTGTATTATATTTAAAGAAATTAAATTATGAAGAATCTGCATAAATGTATGTATATGTTTCTCACATTGTGATAAAACAATGATACCTAGAGCCATCAAATTTTGTATAATGTACATCTCCACCCGAAAATGGGCATTTGGAAGCCTGATTTTGGAATTTGTTTTATTATCTATTTCATATTTTATAAGGCGTTTATGAGATTAAGAAACTCTATGATTTTAAAGCGAGCAATGCTAACACTGTACAGGGGGGGGGGAAACACTTTTATCTTCAGCGTATGAGACTTTGTATCGGAAATTCTAAAGGTTTGCTGTTTTTAAATATTTTGTCATATTTCAGTTGAATTCAATTTTATGGTTTAAGTGCGAAGAACATGATATTTAATAAATAAAGGTAACATACAAAATAATAAAAAATTGTCCTTTTGGGCATATATTTTTATTTTTATTTTCTAAACTGAAATTTGGAAAATTAACTGTAATCATGGGATCTTCCAGTTTTTAACTGGATATGTCATCACAAGGGCATTTGAGAGACTGATAGGCTGAATTAAAAAAAAAAAAAATGTAAGACAAGTAGTATCACAAAAATACAAAATATCAACATTAAAACTCTTTTCTTCATTTCATTTTTATTTCCAAGCTGTTAAAAGCTTAATTAAAAAAAAAAAAAACTTGCATCATCATTTTAAAATATTTGAAGCAATGTTACAACTTGATATAAATTGTAGAGGCTCTAATCGTATTTGAACAGATCACTCGGCAAATATATTTGTTAAATTGTAAAATTTTGGATTTTATATTTCATGTTTTACTCTTGAATATATTTGTAATACAAACTGGGAAAATTATTTGGATAATTAAGAGCATAATTTTGTTATTTTTAAAAGTATTGTTTCCATGTTACATTTTGATACAGTTTTATTGACAAAAGTATACATTGCAAAGTGTTATTTAAATATTTTGTCTTGATTAAAAGTGTTAAATGAATATTACTTATAAATGATCTTCTTGTAAGTACTGTTTTGGTAACAGTTTTTCATGAGATAAACTGTGTTATTGCAATGATGTTAATTGTTTTTCATTAAAAAGTGATTTTTGAAAGTAATCCATTTTCTCGTTCTTTATTTTTGTTGTTGCAAGTACATGCCTACATAATTTTTTAAATGTAACTGTAATACAATAAAAATATTGTTTTAATAGCTGGAATTCTTCTTATAATTTTTGTTATAAAACTGTATTTCAGTTATGCAATTAAAAAAAATTAACTTTCATTGCAAGAATCATAAATTCTGAAGTGCTCGAATAAAATTATTTTATGAAGTTTGGTTTTTCACATTGAAATTAATGCTCTTAATGTTGTTGGAATTTCATTGCCTTTTTAAGATGTTTATATATATACGAACGTTTAAAGGTGTTGCATTTTATAGTATAAATTTTATTTCATAGTGTATGGTTAAATTTTTCGATTTAGTTTCTAGATGTTACATCAATAGTGACTAAGAGATTTAATGCCGTGACCAAGTTGAAAGCAAATCCTAATGACCAAGCTGCTTTAATTGAGCTTCAAGAAGCTCAGACAAGCGTATGTATAATTTGTTAGACATCCATAGTATTTTATAGATTTATTATTTGATTATTAATAGACCTAGGTTGCATTTACATAGTTAAAATATGTATGATATATGAATGGTTGCATAAATTTGCGACCAAAGCATTTATACAGTCAAGCCCAATAAAATTATTTTTGGTTGATTTTTTTTTGCTATTTGAAACATTCATATTAAACTTATTTAATCCTGCCTGCTCCCTCTCTCTTTCTCTCTCTCTCTCTCTCTTTTTTTTTTTTTTTTTTTTTGTGTAAAATTTTAATTAAATAATATTGTTTTGAATACTTAGTTTATTGATGATGAAATACTGAATAAATTTGGGACAAAAAAACTTGGATTTTGTCATATTTATATTTTTAATATTGTTCAGTTGAAAATACTATGGAGAACACTTTTAAATGGAAAGCCCCCCTTAATTTATTTAAACAAGACAGTGTGTGAAACACACACACACACACATATATATATATATATATATATATGTTTCTCACAGTATGGAAGAATGGAGGTACACTGCACACACACAAAAAAGGGGGGGGGCATTTCTATATCTCTCGTTCTACTGGGCCAATTGACGAAATTCAAATTGTATTTTTCATGTCTCGAAAGCACGACTTAGGATATATATAGCATCATTCTAACATAGGTATTTTGACACAAAATTGGACTTTTTCTGAAATAACATACCAATTTTTTTCCGTATTTCGATTCTACAACTCAAATTATGCATGAATATTAAATTTTGTAAAATTTGGTGCAAAATTTACTGAGAAATTCAAATTTATCTTGGTGCACTTTTTCAGTTGTGCCAAGTATAATTCACTTGGCGAACTTCTTAAAATATGACAACCTATTTTTCATCCCCTTCCATTGTGCAGGAGCAGAAAAAAAGCCACATTGTTCCCGCCTTTTTACATTGTTAATGAGAGGAAAATATCGTTCAATCTTTCAAATAATTTTAACAAATTGCCTAAACCACATTTGATGTAATTTTTGCTTTCAACAAATATGCCAAATTTCAAAACATGCCAATATGTAAATTCACGTATATCTTTGGAAATTTTGATTAAAAAAACGTAATTTTTTGCAGGTATGCTTAGAAATACATCTACCTTAAGATGATGTTAAAAATTTTACAGGTTATAATACAAAATTTTTTTGAAAAATTTATAAAAAATTGTTTAAAATACAAATTTAAAAAATAAATCATAAAAAATAGGCAAATTTTATTTGGAATGAACTTAAATTTTGAAATGTGAAAGGAAGAATCAAATGAGTGTAATAAAAAAAGAGAGAATCATAAATATATATCTACAATTCAATTAACATTGAGGAGCTAAAATTTTGAGATCTAACTTTGTTAAAGCTACTTGTGCGATTTTAACAAAACTTGGGAGTTTGGCATAATTTGAGTCGGGGAACCGAAATATGGAAAAAAAGTATTAGTACAATGCTATATATAAATCTAATACATATCCTAAGTTGTGCTTTCGAGACATGAAAACGCAATTTGAATTTCATCAATCGGCCCAGTAGAACGGGAGATATAGAACTGTCCCCCCCTTTTTTTTTTTTGCGCAGTGTACCTAAAACTATTAAATTTTGAATGCGTGTAATCATCCATCTCAACATGCATATTTTAAAGCTGAAAATTTTGAATGTTCAATTTTGTTTTCTTTTTAAATTTATTTTATGTTTTGTGCAAATTTAATGAAATTTTGATTGAGAAACTTGGGGACTAAAAGCAATATGTTGGCTCTTGTCAAAGTATAAGATATTTGCATTTTAATCAGAAAACTCGAGCAATTTAAAAGAAATGCATTGTCCCTGACCAGAATAAAGTATTTTTACCTTCAATGTGCCAGTATATGGCCATAAATTTTGCACCAAGAAGCTACTTCTTATGTAACTTAACCTGAATAAGCAAAACTTTTTCCGGATAATGTTTGTTGCTTTTTTACTTTTTATTAAAAGTCTAAAAAGGTATTAAATTTCTCAGAAATAATTTTTTCCCCTTCAAAAACTTAGTTATTTAACATATTTCAATGTAATTACTGCAATTGTAGATGCATATCTTCATACAATAAGATGATTTTGTCTTTAAGAGCCTCAGAAATCAATTTGGTTCAAGCTGCATTCTGTTTTGAGTTTTTTTTTTTTTTTTTTTTTGGCTCTAAAGAAGTTTTTTGTTGAAGTATTTGGGAAAAAAATATGAGGCTATTGCTGTAATCACGGTGAATATGAATAAGCTAAGGATTAAGGTTTTTTCGAGTTATGAGGAGTAGAGGAATGTAAAAGGGCATTGATAACTTTTATACTGAAGTGTTGAATAAAAAAGTTTTTCCAAGAACAGAAATAAAATAATTTAATAACTTATTTTAGGGGTTCCCAACCCTATGCCCGTGGGCACCATGGCGACTGCCAATCGTTTAACGAGTGCCCGCCGCTGTGCATTAAAAATGTTTTAGTTTTTGATAAAATTCTATGTGAAAATTTTCTCATTTTTAATTAAATAGAAATAGCATCCAACACAGGTACCAGCATGAAGCGAAATGTATCCGATCTCTTTTTTTATGTGCACATATTATTTATTAATTCTATCCAACTCTAAATTCCCCTTGAAAAAGTAAATGGTGCCCGCCGTCCTACAGATATTCTAAAATGTGCTGTTAGGGACAAAAAAGTCAGGAACCCCTGACTTATTTCATTGAAACTAACTAAAGTTTTTGACTTCTTTTTATATATTTTGCAATTTAAAAAATGTACAGTGTCCTGCTGTTAACACACATTCCAGGCAATGCTCGACTTTTAGTTCACTTCTAAATTTGTTCACAAGCTAGAAATTTACCAGAACTTCATATAAAAGTTTTTCTTTTTAAAAAGTTTTATTTTTAATGAGTAGTTTTTAATCAATTGGCTAATCTGGCACCAGAATATGCTATAGTGCAAATTATCTCATCTTGTGTGAATTGGAAATGATAGTTTTCTTTAAATTTCAAAATATTTTTAGTTAATGTAGCTGATGCAGCTTGGATAATAATGTAATAGTTGCATCACTCAGTAGTTTGATAAAATCACTTAATAAGTAAAAATTATTTCTAGGTTGGATTTGGTAGTAAACCTTCAGATAGTTCTAAATCCTGAAAATTCACTTTTGTTAAACAAAGTTATGTGGAAATCTGAGAAGTATGAAATTCCTTGAAGTTATTTTTGACTGTCATTATATAAATACTTTCCCATCCTCCTAAAAAGGTGTTAAAAAGGCAGTTGTTGATTACCAAAAAGTCTGATGAGTAAGGTGGATGAAGAAGAAATTTCATAGTGCAAGTTATGTAACTTAATTTTTTTAACACATGTTGTCGTGTATTGTGATGAAACTGCATAACTTAATCTCTGTTGACTAGTCTAGATTGTATAATAATTTCAGATGTACTTTTTGGCATTAATAATTTCACTACATTTTAAGAAGAAATAATTAGTTTTGCACTATCAGAAAGAAGCTTCTTTTCTGAGTTCAGATTTGGCTTGTGTTCGGGCCTTATCAGTGTCGTTGCATAGATCAACAACTTGTCATATAGGAATCATTTTTCATCATATGTGATTATTCTAGTCAAAAAGGAAATGTATCTATTCTGGGAAAGTACAGTATGCTTAAACAGGCATGCAATATGTTGTCTTTTTAGTGAGTTCATTTACAAAAGTCACTTATTACTATTTCCATGTTCTTGCTGTTATGCCAAGTTCCGTCATGTCTTTTACAGTTTGGTGAGGATCAGACTCCACTAGTGTTCACATTTCATCATCACCAGTAGCTGCTGCTGAATGTCCATGCTGCTAATATTTAACCATTATATTGTCAGTCTGAAATTTTTCTAATCATTGTCTAATAATCTTTTTGCTTATTGTCAACCACAAATGCACTGTTAATTTTCTTGAATGTGTCTGTTGGATTATGATGAAGTTTCAAACTTGAACAGGGAAAAAAGTATCCATTTTACTTCATTTCCATGCTTTTGTCATTTGTTGGATGATAGTTGAAAACTCAAATCCTTCCATAACACATGAAAGGATATTTGAACTTTAATATCCAATACAGGGTATCATTTGGCATTATTTTATAATATGAATCATTTCATTTATAATCATACCAAAATCCACCCTTTCATGTGTACTTTTATACAGTCTGCATTTATTTTCTGGTCTGAAAACTACTGGAATTGTATAAAATGCTATGTTAAAAAAGCTTTGTGCTCAATTGATTAATATCCGCAACACTAAAAAAGATTTGCTTAATAAATTTATCATTGTAAATGTTCATAAAGTTATCTCTTTTGATACTCTTGGTGATTTTAAATTGTTCTCTAAACCCTTGAATGCCCAGCCACTTTTATCTGGTCATAAGATTTTTTGCCATTTGGTAATTTCCATATTATTTAAAATTTATCTTTTTATTATTTACTTTAATGATCTAAATATTATCTTAATTGTCATAATAACTTAATGAATGAACATTTGTGAAAACAGAAGCTGAAATAATTATGCAAATTTATCTAATAAATTATGTTTAAGTACAGTTCTTCTTGAGGTGATTCAAGAAGATGTGCCACTCAAAGTGCTAGCAATCCTCTTGCCTTTAATAACTTTTTGTTTTTTTATGTGTTCAAAAGTTCTAAATAAGGTTTTATTGTATGTGGTACTGGTGATCTATGAAATGTTAGCATGCTATAGAATGTCTGGGCATTTTAGGCAATGTTTAAAATATTTTAATTATTTGTAAGCATTTACTTTCTTTAGGCATTGTATTTAATATCTAAGCATTCTGTAGACTAAGAAATGCTATTTAGGGAAAGCATAAAAAGATCATGATAAGTCTTTTACTTAAAAGAGGTGCATTATGCAGAAATATGAATGTTTATTTAGTAGAAGCAATAAAAGAGTGCCATTAAAAATCTTTAATTCAAAATGTTTAAAGGAAAATGAAAGTTACAAAAGACAAAGTTTATATCTTATTGTAGAAAACAAAATAAAACATGAATCTATCTATATGTTGCATCAAGGAAGGAACACATTTTATTTTGAATTGGATTTAATTTGCATCAATGTGCTTCATACTTTGCTAGTTTGTCATTTGGCATTGTATAGAATGCCTAGGAAATGTGGGAAATATTAATTATTTCATACTTGTCGAAACTTGCCCTGGCATTCTACAGAATACTGGATTTCAAATTTTTCCGGTAACTTAATTATATTTAATTGATTATAAGTTTGTTTATATATGAGGGTTGGAACTTTAATAGTGGCAACACTGCTGAAAAAAACACTATGCAACAAAACCAAAGAATATCGCATATACCACATGTAAACTACATACCTACCTTACCTCTCAGCAAAAGACTCGTCCTGCTACGTCATGCGCATGCGAGTGACGAAGAAGAAAGATCCTTGTATTAGCATCGTGGTTAAACTAAGTGTTGTCAAAGATGTTTTCAAAACAAGAACAATGATTTGGATAAAAATTGAATGAGACGTGGTACGAAGCTCAACAAGTTCAAGCTCTGGTTTAAAAACACTGCATTGCACAAAAAAAGAAGATGTGAAATGTCAATGAAGGTGTTGCAGGCAAAGGCTCGTGCAAACAAAGACAGGTTTCAAGGATGTTGCGTACGGCACGACAGCGTCATCAAGCTTGAGGCTTGCGGGGGAATCTGCATTGCCTAAACCGTAGCAAGAAAAAGCATTCAATGAAGGATGCCAAAACGAGGCAGACATGCTGCGGCCAGGTCATCCGAGTGTCAGCAATGCAGACGTGCAAGCTGTTGCCACATTAATGGACAGTGATCACCGCCAAACGATTCGTCCGCTGGCCGTACAAACAGGATTAGTGCATACGACTGTGCTGCACATTCTGAAGGAACGCCTGTCCATGAGAAAAATTGCTTCACGATGGGTTCCACATCAATTGATGGAAATGCAGAAATGGCTACGATACGATGCTGCCCGAACCCACCTGTAGCGCTATGAGCGTGAAGGAGATGCTTTTGTACGCCGTATCATTACGCTGGATGAGACTTGGGCCCGATCGTGCCAGCCAGAACTGAAACGCCAATCAAACAAATGGCGTCATCACGGGTTATCACGACGTTCGAAATTTCGTCAGAACCCCAGCAATGTGAAAGTTATGGTGATTCTCGTGTACGACTGTGATGGTGTCATCCTAACGCATACTGTTCCCCCACAGCAGACCGTCACTGCGCATTATTACTGCTCATTTTTGGAGCACAATCTCCGACCAGCTTTGAGAAAAAAACAGCGTCATTTTCTGCAGAACGCTCCTCTCATTTTACATGACAATGCTTGGCCGTGTGCAGCGCAAGCTGTGACTGATTTGTTCAAACAATGGGGCTGGGAAGTGCTTTACCATCCACCATACTCCCCAGATCTAAGTCCTTGTGACTATGACTTAATTCCTAAGATGAAGGAACCACTTCGTGGCACTCGCTTCCAAACTGTTCCTGAGATTCTTGCGGCAGTAGACCGGTCCATTCAAACTATCAACAAAACAGGCGCTGCTACAGGTATTCTGCGACTTCCACATCATTGGAAACGGGTTGTACACAATGCTGGTGACTATATTGAAAAACTGTAAAACATGGTGACGTGAATCACTTTTGTATTCCTTGTAAATAAATAGTTGCCACTATTAAAGTTCCAACCCTCGTATATATTCCTGATATCATCTATTATCTTTGACTGCTTATCGTTATTTTCTGCAGTTCTGGAAGTTCAAAATTCTTTATTAAGAGAAATTACTTGTATAAATTTTCATTTTCTTCTTCTCCCAGATCCAGGAATGGGTGCAGTCGCAACAAGTACCTGGTCAATTTACAGGTAGTACTGATGCCAAGCTTCTTTCAGTTGAAGAACTTTGTGGCCCCAAAAGTTTTAGATTAAAAAAAGTAAGGCCTAAGAATATAAGAATAAGAAGTTATTTTATTTCCTTGTTAACATTAAAAAATATTTATATTTAAAATACATGTAAAAGATTTCCTTATTTCTTATCAGTTTTCTTTCTTTTTCTCTCTCTCTCTCTTTTTTTTTTTTTTTATTTTATTTTTTTTTTTTTTTACTTTTTCTCTTATTTTGGCTAAATCATTATCTGAAACATTTTCCTTACATTCTTTTTGAATGAAGGATAATTAATTTGACAAAAACTTAGATAATTTTAAAATTTGACAATTTATTTTGCTCTCAAAAGACTTAAGTATAAAACAAAATTTAACCAGTTAACAAAATTAAGTTAGCATAAATATGTAAACAAAATTTAACCAGTTAACAAAATTAAGTTAGCATAAATATGTAAGGGTTGTTATATGGAAAACATATCATGATCAAAACTGTTTTATGATAATCATCTACTTAAAGACTAACAGCAGCTTCATTAATGCAAGTTCATATGTAAGTTATATAAACAAACCCTTATGATATGTGAAATTATTTCAAATACATTTCTTTTCACTGAGCTGTATTACAAAACTGCTGTTTGTACAACTGATTTAGTTTTGTTCTGAATTTTTATTAATTTGAGAACTTATCATCAAATATTACAGAGGCAACTACTCTATTTTTCACTAAGTGTATTTAGAACTGTTGCATATTTGAGTCAGAATCTTCTCAACAGAGTATAATAAATGTTACCCATGAAAATTTATGTTAAATAGTAGTATATGTCCATTATTATATTATTAATAAAAATGAGTCTGGATTTTTTAATGAATGAAGATAACATATCAAAATATTGCTTTAATGTAATAAAGGTCACATTAGAAAACTGCAAAGCTAATAATATAATTATACATTGTGCCCTCAAAAATACTTACCAGGCCTTTATTTTTGCAACCATTGGTCATAGACATGTATTTCCTGTTACCAAAATATTCTAAATGATGGAGATTCATGTTTTCATATTTTTTAATTTAAAAAACTGATTTTTTTAAATGCACAAAGTTTAGGAAAATGTTTTTCTTACAGTAAAAAAAAAAAAAAAAAAAAAAAAAAAATGAAATACAGAATGTTTACTCCTATACTTCAAAAACCAAACAACAAATTTATTTCAAAATTTAAATTTTTGACACCATTTTTAACATGCCTTAAGGGATTGATTAATATCTTGTTGTAACGAAAGATTTCCACCAAAAAACGTTTTTAATAAAGTTGGGGGGGGGGGAGTACATGAAAGCAGTACCTTTAATGTGGTTAGTAATCACTACCCAAATCTATGATTTTCTGACAACGTATTGGTAGTTTTTCATAGCCCAGAAATATCATGGCTGTGAGTCCCAAAAACGTCCTCTGCAGAATGGACGCTAGCACCAGCAGGATGTAACTGCAGGTGTTGAAAAAGGTAGAAGTCCAAAGGAGCGATGTCAGGGCTATGTATTGGGTGCGGCAAAAGATCCCATTCGAAGTCCGTACAGAGTGTAGCCGGTGAATGCAGATACATGGGGTCTTGCATTATCTTACTGGAACATTATCTTTTTCACCGGAACTCAGTTCAACATTTTTCCATGATAGCAGTGCCAACTCGGACTAGCATCTCTGTGTACAACTTACTGTCGAGGGTTTTACCTTTTTTCCAAATACTGTTTGTGGATAATACCATGGCAATCCTGCCAGATACAAAGCATGATCTTTTTATTAGTCAAATTGCACTTTGTGACACTGCCGATGGGCTCATGGGGCGTAGACCAACCCCTTTTCAGCCTGTGTTGTTAAAGTAAATCCAGTTTTGGTCACAAATCACATCCATTTTTCATCACAAGATCCAGTCCAGAATTTTCTTCTTGCATTGATATCAGTGCTGGCTCGAACATGCCTGTCCTTGTCTGTTTGAGTCAGCTCACGTGTCACCCAGTGATTGAAATTGTACGTCAAGTTTACATGATGCTTAGTGCAACTAATGGACTTGGGACTAACATATAACTTTTGAGTGGTTGCATACTGATTTTCTTCCACAAGTTCTCCCAGATGGGCCTCATTAACATCAGTTGGCCAGCCAGAAGTGCTCTGCTTCTTGAATGTTAACTTGTCCTTGTTTTTGAACTTTCAGTACCAAACCTTCACATTGTTGTATGATATGAGGTTAATATCTAAAGCTGTACATATGATTTGGTGACATTCTGTAGCTAACTTTTTACAACAGAACAGGATGTAAATGATGGTTCTAATCTGGTAGCATGATAGTTTCTTTTCAGACACTTTGTACTTAATGATAAAGATACTTTTTTTTTTTTTTTTTTTTTTTTTTTTTTTTTTTTTTTTTTTTTACAAATTTCACAATAAAGTGTTCTAAAGCAATTTTCTTAAAATCTTTTGGCAAAATATGATTTAACATGCTAATGTGAACTCTTTGTGCAGACAGTATTTGCGGTGGCAGGAAACTTTCGTTAAAACCCGATAAATGAATTAGAGTAATTAGAGGTTTATGTTTAGTTCTCTTAAATGTTATTCAGTGACATTATTTTATGATTTAGTTATGTCTTCTCCATATTTGATTCAATTAAGATTAAGCCATGACTGCTACGATGTAGCAAAAGTAGCGATCTCATGAAGGATCTGAAGTAACTTCCACTTCGGCTGACCACATGAAGCCCTGATCTATTGGAATTGCAACCTGAAATCATTCTATTGCAGACTGTTTTTTTTTTTTCCACACCTCTCTCTCTCTTTTTTTTAAGCTATCATTTCTTTTCACATATGTTATTTTTCTTCTTTATTTGATATGTTTCAGTGTTTAGAAGTCCTCACATGTCGATAGCTGTGTGCTGTGGGAATTGAGCTGCAAAAGAATTAAAAAGCAGCTGTTCATTTATACTCATCCTTAATTTCTTGTTAATACTACAAAAGATTAAATTGCATGAGGGAATTCTAAAAGATGAAACAGTTTTTGAGTTTATCGTCTATGAGTTGACGTTTCTGAAAGCAGCTAACGGTATTTTTTTAAAAAATAAGGTGTTTACTGATCGCACGTAGACAGATGTGGGCAGATATAGATCTGAATGAAATAAAACGTAATACTTGGAACCAGTGGGTGTGAGTTCTGTTTTATGATAATACATCATATCCGCATGTGTAAATGCTCTGTAATGTATAATTTTCTTGCAGTTATTCTGAAAGAATTTATAAATTTTGAACCAATAGAAATACATTTTTTTCATGCAGTTTTATTACTTACAAAATTTACTTTTTACAGAATCCTAATCTAAAAATGAGCAAAAAGATTAATTAATCTTGAAATATTTTTCATTTTATATAAACAAAATTATGAGTTAGCAGCATGGCATTTTATATAAACAAGTGTTTGTAGAACAAGGATTATGTAAGATTCTGTGAATAATAGAATTTGTCTGAAAAAAATTACTCGGTCAATGCGTTTTACAATAATTTTCATAGAAATGTTCGTCACTTATAAAAATGTAATGTTTAATGTCAGAAATCTTGTACCAAACTGATATTTTATTTTTAGTTAAGTACAAATGCAAACACTTTGCTACTGTTTGACTTGGGTATGGTTTTTGAATATGATGTTCAGCTTTAAAACTGCATATCTCAGTCTGTATGAGAGTTACAGTTTTTATTCTATGCTTTTTATTATCAGTTAACATTTTTCAAAGTATGAATATAGGGATCATAAGAATGTATAAAAAGTTAAATTTCATAATTTTTACAATTTTTGGGGGGGGGGGAGTTTAAATTTAAAAGTGCCAAAACATTAATATTTGCATCATTTGTAACATTTTTGTAACTGGAAATATAAGTCTTTGACAGCAGTGTATAAAATAAAGGCCAGGTAAGGAGTTTTATAGACATGATGTATAGAGCATTAATCAAAAGTAATTATGTGAGAGATTTTACAAAAATTCAGAACAATTTGTAAAGAAAAAGTTACATTTATGCCATTTAAAATTAATTTCTTAACTTTTGTTTTAGTCGTACCATCTTTAACTCTTTTTAATGTAAAAACTTTCTAATGCCATATTCACTTTTACAACCTTTACTTAGTGATAACACAAGTAGAAATTTAAATACATCAGCAAGATTCAATCAAGGGTTTAGTTACTAATCTCGATTGGTTCATCAGTCTTATTTCTAATGTTGCATACAATTTATTAAAATAATATTCATTCTTTGAATGAACTCTTATAATCTAAGAGTAAGAGTTAATTTTAGTGATTATAATGATTCATTATAATTAACAGTATTGTAGTCTGGTACTTTAAAATAGGCATTTCAAGCAATCATCCTCCCCTCATTTACAATTGTAATATGTTGTCATTGCTGTATAGAGGATTGTTGATTTTAGCAAATTAGAGGATTTGAATCATCTCTTGCTGCTGTCATTACCATGGTTACAAAGAAAATTAGAAGAGAAGAAAATGGCTTTAAGATGCCTTGTATTAAAGTAACACTGTAGCAGGAAGAGTATTTTAAGAACGATGCTTACAGTGTAGAGATTCTTCTTTATAACATTGCTGTTTTTTTTTTTTTTTTTTTTTTTCCCTATTACTTTTACAAGATTGGAGAATTGAAATTAATTTCATATGACTGAATAATTTGAGCAGTTTTATATTAATTAATTATTATTTATATAGATGTATGAAAATGTAAAATAGTTCTACTATATACATTTTTCTGCATTGAATATTTTCAACTATTATTATAATGAATGTGCTGTTTTGATAGTGTGATACTTTTTCGAAAATTGCTCGAAGTCAGTTTGAAAAAAATAATTGATATAATGTAAAACTGCTTTGTGTAATAAATATATGGAATTCCCCTCCCCAATTATTCTGGACCTCCAAGGAATTTTGTATGTTGTAAGGAGCTAACGTGCATTGGTTCTAAATAGATCACTATGTAATTTTTAAAATATTATTTAATAGAATTTTTATATTGTAAA